CTAATATAATATAACTAACCCAAAAATGTATATACTTTTTCCCAGTTGGTTACTGAACAGCTTAGTATATATTTTGTTACCCTAAACCCCTAAGCCCCAACAAAAATTATAACCCCACTTATAACTACCCATGAACCTCCACTTTTGCACTTTGCACGCAGCAGTCTGGTAAGACGCCTAGCGACAGAACTAGTGTGTCAAGCCTTTGAGGCCCGGTGTCTTAGAGACACGATGGTTTGTCCACCACACCTTCAGAAAAGTCAGCAGCCACGAATGGCCCTAAGTGAGCATGATCGTCAATCATGCGAGTCATATGATTCGAAAGTTCACATGTCCCTTCGAATACAAAGCACAGCATACACTTCGGCATAATGCTGATCAGAAGGATGCACCATACGAGTAGGAGCAACATTATCGTCACAGTGCCACACAGCATCATTGTCAATGAGAACAGCCGTGTAGTGCCCTCTCACTGGCGTGCCGCCCCGGTGACAGATGCATGCTACTGGTCTATGCAGCTGATATCGAACATCCATGCTCTGCTCACTCGTGAAAATCGGAACATTGAAATCATCCAACACATGTCGAACCATCAGCTGTAAACGGCGCAATTGAATCATTCCTGAATCGCATGACCTGCAGCAGCAATAATCGAGGAGCCATGTGAAAAGCACATGTGGCAGCATGTGTAGAAGCCTCCCACGCCGAAATCATCATATGTAAAGATTGTCGCTGCCTGTTGGGATGTAACACCATAACATGGCCACTATCACAAACTGTCATCTCCGCATCCTGAAAAGTTCTAGCCTGCCATGTCCCCAACAGGTTCACTGCCCCAACCTGAGTGAGATGATACATGGCAAATTCCATGACGTCATGTTGGTCATGTGGTCTGTCCCAAGCCCCGAGCAACTCATGAACAGCATGTGTATTCATAAGCTGCACCATACCCATGAACCTCCAAGCAGGCGCTTCCGCCACTTGCCCAAAGAGCAGACGCTGAAGGCCGCCTTGAGCGACCTCAACGTTTCTGGCACGGACCGCATCTGTTTAGGGTTTAGGGTTCAGGGTTCAGGGTTTAGGGTTTAGGGTTCAGGGTTCAGGGCTTAGGGTTTAGGGTTTAGGGCTTAGGGCTGAGGGCTTCGGGTTTAGGGTTTTAGGGTTTAGGGTTTTAGGGTTTAGGGTTTACGGTTTTGGGGTTTAGGGTTATAGGGTTTAGGGTTTACGGTTTTGGGGTTTAGGGTTTAGGGTTTTAGGGTTTAGGGTTTTGGGGCGGGATTCCAGAGCCTGAACGAATGGGATGAAGATAGGCAGGCCAGCAACCTTCATCCCCCCCAAACCCCAAACCTCAAATCCTAAACGCTAAACCCTAAACCCTAAAACCCTAAACCCTAAACCCTAAACCTTAAACCCTAAAACCCAAACCCTAAAACCCAAACCCTAAAACCCTAAAGCTCAAACCCTAAACCCTAAGCTTTTCCATCCCTCTGATCAGAACCCAGAGCCCTTGGGCCGCTCAAGCCTCAAATCCAAAGCCCCATACTGCTAAGGGTCCATGTAATATAGGGGCCTAGATAATTACCTATGCTTCCAACTGGGCCTAAACAACACTCCTTGTATATGGCATCCGAAAGTAGAATCAGTTAAAGCGTTCCACAAAGCTGCGTGAACAAACTTGAGAGCCAAGTCTGCGTTATGGGCTTTGAGTATTTTGGTGGTATGGGCAGGGATGAGGAATTTGGAGTTCTGCTCCCGCATATGACATCTTGGGCACTTTCTTTCACCGGCTTGAAGATCTGCTGTTTCTTCCTGCAACATTGCAACTCGAGCGTCTCGGCCCACTTCCGGCTAACATCCTCAACCCACGATCCTCCCGAGGAAGTCAACGTAGGCCATGGTCGTCCCCACGACCAGAAGAAACCTGTACATGATGAGTGATGAAGATGGTGTTGAAGCTGATGTCCGTCAGCGTCACCACATGTTCACATTGTCGAGATAAAGGCCCCTTGATATTCACATGACCGGGCCATGAGAACTATCACAGTGATAACAGTATAACTGTATAACAGCAACAGGTCAAAAGCGACACACACACACACACACACGCGCGCGCACAGGAGGAACGCACCACACGTCGACACGACTTGACGGCAATCGCGCATGAGGACACCCAACTCATAGTGCTGGTCCAAGTCTCCATCGGCGGAGTCCTCAGACGACACGGGATGTCTAATGTAAGTTCGGCTGTAGGGGTCGGATTTATCATGAAATCTCCCGGCATGCTTTGATAGCTATCGCGGTAAGGATCCGACTTCAGCAGCTTTATGGCCCCGAGAGTTAAGTTTTTCCTTCTCTGAATCCTCAAGCCCCACAATGCAAAGCCCCAAAGCCCCAAACCCTAAACCCCAAGGCCTAAACCATCCTATATAAACCCTAAACCCTAAACCCTAAACCCTAAACCCTAAACCCTAAACCCCAAGGCCTAAACCATCCTACATACTCCTAAACCCGAGACCCCACACCTTGAAGCCCCAAACCTTGACCCCAGTTGGGCTTTTGGGTTCAGGGCTTAGAGTCTGGAGTTTAGGGTTTAGGGTTTAGAGTCTGGAGTTTAGGGTTTAGGGTTTAGAATCTCGGATTTAGGGTTTAGGGTTTAGAGTCTAGAGTTTAGTGTTTGGGGTTTAGGGTCTAGGGTTTGGGGTTTAGGCTCTAAGCCCTAAACCCCGAACTCCCAACTATGATCCCTAAACCCTATACCCCGAACCCCAAACCCAAAGTCCTAAACCCAACCCTAAACCCCGAGCCTTGAACACTGGACCCAAATCCCGACGCCCTACGACCCGAACCCTCAACCACAAACACACGGTTCAGGGTTTAGGGTTTAGGGTTTAGGGTTTAGGGGCAAACCCTAGACTCAAAATCATCAACCCTACCTGGATCCCAAAGAACCTACGTACCTTTTTAAGGACGTATATAAAGAAATCATAGTGAGGAACCCTAAAGAAAGGAAGGTCTGACAGGGTTAAGGTGGACTCCACACCCTAAACCCTAATATAGGGGCCTTAATAATTAGAATAGGACTCGGGGGTATATTATAGTAGCATTATAACAAGGAATCCCCAAGACCCTATTCTAATTATTAAGGCTCCTACATTACACCCTGAGGACTAAACCTCCTAAGTTCGAGTTGTCGAGACGCCCACTTGGAGGTTCATGGGTAGTTATCAGTAGGGTTATAAGGCCCTTAACATGGGTTATAACTACAATTACCCTAATTATAACCTCATGTATAACTACCCATGAACCCTAAACCCTAAACCCTAAACCCTAAGACCCTAAACCCTAAACCCTTAACCCTAAACCCTAAAAGCCTAAACCCTAAACCCTAAACCCTAAAACCCTAAACCCTAAACCCTAAAACCCTTAAACTTATAAACCCTAAAACCCTAAACAGACAGGCCAAAGCTCTCCACGTCAGACCCTCGATGGTTGTATCCGGCACCCGCGCTGTAGGCAGAGGTGATGGACTTTCCCAGTCCTGCAGGGTTTAGGGTTTAGGGTTTAGGGGTTTAGCGTTCAGGGTTTTAGGGTAGCCATGCTTACTTGAAGGGTCATGGGACTTAGTAACTAGGGTTTTAAATAAGGTAACTATAACCCCAATTAGGGTACTTATAACCTTACTTACTAAGTCCCATGATCCTCCAAGCAACCTCAGCCGTTCCAGTTTCAAGCCGCCGAATCCCAAGCGCAGATGGCTTTGAAGCTGTCATCCCTTGCGGTTGGCTTGTCGGCACAGCTACTCCGTTTGGTCTTCCTTGCTTCCCTGGGCCTCTCAGTGGAAAGATGTTTTTGTGGGGAGATCTCCGTGACGAGCATGGTACCAAGGGCATTCGGAGCAAAGGTCCGCAGGCCAAGGCTGCGGCTTTCTCGGGTCCTTGGTGGCATCCAAGGGAAGCAGTTCGAGAACGAAGGATGCCTCCAGGTTTCAGAATAGCATAATATTGAGGCCTTAATAATTTCGATAGGGTTGGGGCATATTATACTATAAATATAAGGAGCCCCCCAAACCCTATTCAAATTATTAAGGCCCCTGCATCATGTCTTTTTCTTTGTTTCGCATGTTGCACGCTCCGCCTCTCGAAGGCAAGTGCAGGCTTGAGCCGCGCACACACCTACCATCCCGGTCTGAACGTCCTCATGCCACACCCTTCACGTAATATAGGGGCCTAAATAAGTACCTATAGTATTCCTTCGGGTTCCTTATTATAAATATACTATAAAGGAGCCCAGTTTAGGGTTTAGGGTTTAGGGAATATTTAATTTTAAGGCCCCCACATTGCTGTGCTCCACAGGTATGCTGCAGGAGCTGAAGAAGTTGGCCTCCGAGCAAGAAGCTCTTGCCCATGAATCCGGCAAAAGTCTCGACCGAAAGATCCACCATCTGGAGACATCTGTGGAGTTCATCCGCTATGCTGAGAAGCAGGGCGCCGATATAGACGTCAAAGGCAAAGCTTATGCCCGAGTAAGCAAAGGTGGTGTGTGGTGGGCGCTTCGCACCAACAGGCAGGCATTCCGGAAGAAGGAAGTGAAACACATCATTATCACTGCTTTCAAGGCCATGGGCATAGCCTTCGTCAAGAAGTCGTCGTGAGCAAATGTGATTTGCTTTCAGCGTGACTCTGAAAGCGTTGCTTGTCAGCCTGTCAGAGTTTCACTGTTTACCAGGCAGCCGTCGCAGCATGGAAGCCGTTTCCGACCCTATCGATTGAGGCTCCAACGGATCCTTGTTGAAAGTAGCCATGCGCCGACAACGACAGGCTGAAGGAATTAAAGCATGTGTAACACAAGACTCGCCAACAGTGCGTGTGAAGTTGGCTCTCAAGCCTCCGACTATGGAAGAAGCCGCACCTTTTCTCAAGAGTGCGCGGCTTTGTCGCAGTACCTGGGAGACGGAGTGCGAGTTTCTTCCCTTGACGGAACGTGGCGCCTCGGCCTTGTGCGGTCGAAAACAAGCTCTTTAGGGTTTTGGGTTTAGGGTTTAGGGTTTAGGGTTTAGGGTTTAGGAACGCTTCTTGTGCTCCTTCTTCGGATGGCTTTGAGTCTGTTTGGGACTGCTTGGGAGTAACTCTGTTCTCAAAAGGATCGATGCTTACGCTTTAGAGCAGAGGTTTCGTACCAGTGTGTGCAACCGTGTGGAGTTCATAACCCTGACTGATGGTTATCTGTTCATTCGACGACCAAAGCAACAAGGACGATGGTAGAAACTGTAAAAGACTGTCAACGCTTTAGTTTGTGATCGAGCCTTCCCATGAGCGCTGCAAGAGGCTTCTTTGAATTGAGTGTATTTTTGGCAGAGGATGGCTGGAACACGGGAGTGTCGCTGCTTAGACCGTGCCCGATCCAAGACAAATATTGAACGGACATGACACGCCTAAGCGACCTTCTGCGACACTCCCAGTGTCGAAACTTTTGCGAAGCTGAACGAGAAGAACCTTAAACCCTAAACCCTCAGCAAGAAGACTTTCCAAACCCTTCCTGTTTCCGCAGGGCTACAGCCGAACCTGAAGACCCAAAATGCCCTCCTTGCCACTCGTCAGCAATCCAGTCTTCAAAAGAGGCCTCTTAGCTTCCTGGCATGCATGTATGCACGTATGTATGAGTTTGTATTGTAGGCCAGGCTTTAAGTGTGAATATAAGTACAAGCTGTTCATGTAAACGCAGATCTGTATGTGGATGTACATGCAAATTTGGATATTCATGTTCATGCAAATGTAAATAAGAATGCTGGTATCAAAGGCATTTATAAACGCACATGCAACTATAGTTACCACTGTTTATAAACGTACAAGCCTACATGTCTATGTGAATTTCAATTATAAGTAGTGTGCACATGTCAATGTGTATATGGTTACATATACGTTACACACGTCTGCGTATGTATACAAATCAGTACAACTCTACATTCAAATACGACATAAGTACAAGTACAAACACTATTTTAAATAGAAGTATAAAGAAAAGCATAACCATAAATTCACATGTAACTGTTAGATATAACAAAGCGTGCACACAAAAGATGGATAGATTCATAGATACATAGATAGATAGATAGATAGATAGATAGATAGACAGATAGATGGGTAGATAGAGATATAGATGCAGATAATATGGATATAGACGTAGATGTAGATATAGATACAGTTGCAGGTATCCGTATATAAATATAAATACTAAAAATGTATACATACATATGGATATATATATATATACCACTACCCAGAAATGTATAGGTGTAGGGGTATAGATGTGGAGGTTTTAATATATAAAGGTACAGCTATAGGTATAGGTACAGGCATAAGTTCAATTTTTTATATAGATCTAGATACACATACAGGCACGGACGCAGATATAGATATGGAGATGGGTATAGACATAGCAGATAAGGATATAGGTATTGATAGAATACCTACTCGTAATCAGGCACGTATGTTTACGCATAATTTCGTGTTTGTCGAAACATAATCAGACCATATATCACTATGTGTGTCTATATCTATATTTGCATCTGCATCTACTACGTACGTCTATATCTTTTCAGGTTCAAACATCAGGAACACGGTGGGTTCAGGTTTTGAATAGTTGTCAATCGTTTGGTCACGGCTCCAGGGTCCTGTCAGAATAATCTAGCTTTAGTTCCCTTGCAGCTACGTAAGCAAGGGAACTGTTGCGACAACTGCTCGGAGCCCAAATTGAGGTCCAGGTACGTACAGCCTTACTGAAACACAATCCCGCAATCCTTCAAGTATGCCAATCCCCCTAAACCCTAAACCCTAAAACCTTTACCCTAAACCCTAAACCCTAAACCGGATGGCAACTCCTCTAGGGCCCCAGCTCAATGTAGCTATAATATGCACCGGAAACCTTTGGTCACTAAGCTGCAAACCAGTTTAGGGTTTAGGGTTACTTAACAGACAAGTTGGAAGTCTATTAACAGGGCACCTGTGATGTGAGGGCTTTGAGGGCTTGGCATGCCAAGGTCGAACGTTAAAACTGGGTTGGGCTGAGGGTTGAAGCAGTGGGCCCTAACGCCTAAACCCTAAACCCTAAAGGCAGTGGGGGTTCTACAGCTTCCCTTAAACCCTAAACCCTGAACCCTAAACCCTAAAGTTCGAGTGGGGGGCCTCGATTTTCGGATATGGGATTGAGGGCTTGGGTGTCAGAGCGTCGGGTTTCGGATGTAACGTAGATAATGTACCTTAAGAACCCCAAACCTACGTTTTTGTAGGGTCCCTATAAATCCCATATTAGGGTTTATAATAAGAACCTACAAAAAAGTGGGTTTTGGGTTCTTAAGGTAGAGGCCCCATATAATTACCTACCCGGGTTAAGGGTAGGGTTTAGGGTTCAGGGTATAGTATAGGGGCCTTAATAATTACCTATATTATGTTTTGGGGGCGGGGGTCCTTATTATAAAGTATAGTATAATGGGCCCCAAAAACCCTATTCTAATTATAAAGGCCCCTATGTCAGTGTGGAGTTTAGGATTCAGATTCTGGGCTCGTTTCTGGGAGTCGGTTACAGACCTCAAGCACCACCACTGCAGAAACCTGCTGCGAAATTCGGGAGGTTTATGGTCAGTAAGTAGGGGTTTAGGGTTTAGGGTCCAGGGCGAAATTCGCGAGAGCTATAGTCAGTAAGTAGGGGAAAAGTCGGGTGACTTTAGCTTGCTTCTTTGAGTGCACTCCACTCCTGTGTGATCGAGGCTTGTTGCACTGAAGCGGGCCAGTGGCAGTCCCTGGGCGTGACATGAGTTCTGCTGGGTTTATAAGTTTCCAAGGAGTACGTTCATCAGCTTGTTCCTCAGACACTGTGGAACACAATATGGGGTTCTAACGCTACCTAAGCGTGAAGAGAATTGGTTGATGTAGCTGCGCGGTGTGCGCGCTGCGAGGTTCCTGGGACGCAGCTCTTGCTGCGGCGCATCACATATTTGGTTTTGACGTCTTATGTTTCACGCGAAACCTCCGCCATTCCCCGAGGAACGATCATTTCACTGTAAGTTAGCGCCAATACCTGGAAGGACCCCACCGGTACATAAGAGAAAGTACTTTGGCCGTGCTCGTGAATCCCGCCAGTCCATGACATGAGGGCCTTCATTAATGTCTTTTCATCTTCCTTAGAAGCCCGAAGATGAAAATCCCCTTCTAATCCTTCTGATGAGAACGGGCTTTGTAAGTCAATGGTCTGCATCACGTTACGGGTTCCCTTTAGGGGTCCCTTTGAGGGCTTCCCTTAAGGGGTCCATTCAGGGTCCCTTAAAGGGCCTGGCGGTCGCTAAGCACCCAAACCCTACACTTCTTGCGATCATGTTGCGCTGGAGGAGGAGTTCAGGATTTAGGGTTTAGGGTTGGGGTTTTTGGAGTTTTAGGGCTTAGGGTTTACTATAGGAGACCGTAAACCCCAAATCACCAAACCACAAAACCCGAAGCACCGGTGGCGCCGAGGTTCAGCCTAGCTGCGCTGGAGGCCGACTCGGTGTGGGCTCGGGTCGGTTTCGGGCTCGGGTCCAGGACTTTGGGGCTTAGCCTTTGCGGTTTTAGGAGCTGAGCCCAAAGCCTTCAACCCCCAAACCCTGCAAACCCCTACAAAGCCGTATAAAATCGTGTTATAAAGATCGTTGCAAGCCTTTCGCAAGTTCTACCAAAGTCCTAAAACCATGTCTAAACAATCACTGCGCAGCCTTACTCCAAGTCGCTGAAGGAGCATCCGTCTCTGGGGCATCGATCAACCCCTCAGTCTTTCAACATAGCCCGGGGCCCTGGGCGCATTGCGGGTGAAGGCTAAGGGTTTAGGAGTTTGAGAGTTTCGGGGTTTCGGATCGAGTGTTTCAGGGTTCAGGTTTTCCATTTTAGGGTGCAAGAGTTTCGGGTTTCAGGGTTTAGGCTGTATAAGGTTCCTTGAGCGCCTGTTGGTCGGTTCCATAAGGAAAACAAGCCCTAAACCCTAAACCCCTAAACCCCTAAACCCTAAACCCTAAACCCTAAACCGTGCCAGCCGTACGACGTCACGATCAAAAGATAGGGGGTACCTCGTTAAGCTGTTAGGATTGAGGCCTTTTGGTTCTTTGGTTTTAGAGTTTAGGGTTTAGGGTTTAGGGTTTTGGGGTTTGGGGTTTTAACCTTGCAACCCTAAGCCCTATAAACCCTAAACTCTAAGCTTCTAAACCCTGAACCCTAAACCCTTTTTAAGCCCTAAACTCCAAACTTCTAAACCCTGAACCCTAAACCCTGTTAGACCCTAGGCTCTAAACTTCTATAAACCCTGAACCCTAAAC